AGGATCAAATGCTGGAATATCATGGAACGAACCATAGAATGCTCTGTACATTGTTCTGTCCACAATGTTCCTGTATGGATCCTCCTCCCGCTTCTTCAACAAGTAGGCAATGTTTGCTTCAATTTCAGACTTCACGTGTGAGTATAACTTATCTGCCGTTTCTTTGTTCTTAAGCAACTCTTCCTTTCCTTCCAATTTTATTGGCTTCCCAAATAGATAGTAGAAGCGCCCTGGTATCTTTGGTAGTAGTCCTGGCATAAAAAGCTGTTGGTTGGCAACTTCTCCAAGTGATTGGTCCCTATGATCAGAACAAACTCTCCATCAGGATAACCAATATTTCATCTATAAGCATTTTACTCCATTTTCCATTCAAATGTTCTTGGACATTAAAACAGAAGAGAGTACTAACCTTATTTTTGGGGTTTTCTGCACTTCCTCCCTAAGAAGGTCATTCAGCACTGGGATTTTCATCAAGTCATTGTAATCAAGAACCAACTGCCACAAACATTACAGGCAAGGAAAGTGGTTAATTGCAAATATTACATTCAAACTTAAAATATTGAGGAAAATTATGTTTAATGACTTCTTTTTCCTTTTGAGAATTTGGGATAAATGTATGCTATCGGTGTATTTGGCATTGGGACGTATAAATGATACAAGAAAACAACGCATACAAAAGAATAAGGAACAAAAGATAAGCTAGAACCAGTTTCCTTTTGCACCTCTCTAAATTAGTGCAAATAACAAATCAAGATTCCACGAATAAATTACTCCTTTTATATATAAACCCTCCATTGATTAGCCATGAGAGGTTAAAAAAAGAATGAGAAAGAGAACAAAAATAGGAATTATATGGAAAAGAAGCAGAACAAGCTTACTTCTGCTATATCATCTTCTCCTACTGCACCAAAAGGCACAATTGTGGCACCTAACCGTGCAGCCATTCTCACAAATTCTGATTGATTAGGCCAGAATAATTTATACTGTTCACCCTGCAATTTAATAACACTCTTCTGTGAGAGTTTGGTAACCAAATTTTTAGCATAAAGAACTACGGCAATCAAAAGAAATATGATATCTCAGGGAATGTGGAGTGAGAACAACTCTAACAACCAAAACACCAAGTTCACTGTGCCTCGCTGTTTGTGTGTTTTCCTGGGCTTGTATGTCTAGAGGTAAGAGCAATGATCTCTATGCTCCTTCAGTTTTCTCTATAAATAATTGAAGGCTAGATGCCCTATAAATTTTAGTCACCTTTTGGTTTCTATAAGTAAAAGGAATTAAAATGGCAAGCTTGTTTATCTCTATGGTTTTTAAAGACAGAAAAAGTTCCCTCCGCCCAATGACTACAGTTTTAAACATGGCTAGTTTGCTACTGAATGGAGGAAAAAAATAATAAAAGGTTAAGTGAATATGAGCAATTTATCTTACCCTATAATGGAGGGCCTCTCGTGCACCGCCAGGATAAAGAAGGACGTGAGACTTGGTAGACAGCAATTTGAAAAGATTGCTTGCTGAGACAGGTACTGCACCCAATACCTTTACCCAGTCCAAATATGAGAATTCATTAGAATAACCCTCACGCCTTCTCGAAAATAGCTCTGGGTGTGCTATTCCACGAACCATAATGTTCTTCTCTCTCAAGAATTCTTCAACAAGAGAAACAGTTTCAAACCCCATTAACATATGGTAGCCAACTAACAAGACGGGACCTTCGTCTGGTATGCCTGCAAGACCTTTTACTATCTTTCCATCTTCCATGGTTGATAACATGACGGAAGAAGTAGCAAAACGAAAGAATCTGCAAATTTAGTAATTGCTACATCAGACTTAATATTGAATTTATAGGAACTCACTATAGGATCCAAAAGGTTTTTAAAACAGCAGAAGATATGAGCAAAAAGCCATATACAAGTTAGTTGCACATAAAGAATTACAAAGGCTAAACTTGTTTTAGCATGCATAATTTATGTGACAACTTGTAATAAGATCAAGAAGATAGAAAAGAAAGGGCAAGAAAACAAGATGGGATGAGCAAACAACAGTCTATACCACATCTTTTTATGCTTCAGCCTTCATTCTTTGAAAAAACTTTTGTAATGGATAAAAAGGTTAATAACATAAAGAACATGGCATTTTAACCCAATTTTCTGTTGCAAGAAATGTTGACATCAAGGTGTTTAGAAGCAGAGTAGAAATTATGATAAAGCAAAGAGAGAAAATTGTAGTGGGTGAGTTTACAAGTGATGTATCATGGATAGTGAAGAAATATGGAAAAGGGAAACTGCATTACATTCTTTTGGCCAGAAGCGAAACCATAATACATGATTCATGATATTCACTAACATTTTGGAGTGTGTTTTTCTTGCCCATGTATTAAAAATACATTCAAATGATCGATGATTGAAAGAGGATTAAGTCCATGATGACCTCAATCTAAGGATTAGGTTTCTATTTGGATCAGATCAAGTTGCGTTATAAGTTTTTAACAATCATCGAATTGCAAATATTCATGACAAATTGCTCAGTGGAATTACCCTGCCACTTGGTCAAAAGCATGTCTGTATTCTGACATACTCGGAGGCACAAAGTCTGAGACATAGTCATGCCTCTTTGAACGCCGGTATTTGCCAGTACCTTTAATAATAGCAAGCAAACTAATGCTGTCTTCCTGTATGATCAAACAAAAGGTAGTCAGTCAAGTTTGTCTTCCTCCAGAGTTCACTGATTTTATTAGCAACTGAAATGGCTAAATTTGAAATACTAAGCAAAAAGTTTGTTTCCTACAATTTTCATAATAGCATCTAACAGCATGCACCCACACATCAATACACCCATTGAGTCAGACTCCATTTTTAACCTACCAGTAAAAGGGTATGCCCGTTGTCCTTGAAACAACGAACTGTGCAATTCTGTAGTAAACCCTTAAGACGTCGAGCCTCATCTCCACTTGGAAGCATGTTATCCTTGTCACTGAAATACAAACCCAGCATCAACCATAAAGTTCCTTTAATCTTTATCGACTCAGAGAAGATTTTTAGACTTGATATCACATGTATAAGGAGATAACCAAAGTCAGAATTAGAATATAAAATGAAAATAAAATATTATAGGAAATATATTATGCAATTTGTTGCAATTCACAATTTGCAGATATGCTTAAGAAAAAACACCTATGAAATAGAACAGAACACTTCTCCAATATTTTCAACCATCCACGAAAATGAAGATGGGAAACCCCATCACAGCTTTTGATATATAAGAAACTCTTAATTCAATCAAATAGCATGGTTATATGAAAAATCTGTAGTGCAATTGTCTAGGAGAAGGAAAAGTCTCTCATTGAAACTTCCACGAACATTTTATACAATTCCACAGTTAAAGGCATTTTAGTCCCTTACCAAAAGGGAAAAAAAAAGGGGGGGAGAAAAAAAAAAAAAGGAATAAAAAAGAAAGAAAGACTAAACTCTGAAGAGAATAGGGACCTGAATAGCAGCAGTACTTCAGCTTTAACAGCATGGAGACGGGAATTAGCATAAGCAGCAGCTGACTTGATCAATTTTAATTTCCAAACAAGAGTCTCTCTAGGTATAATGTTAGCTAAACCCTGAAAATGAAAAAAGAGAAGACTGGAGATCAATAATCAGGGTAGTTCTTGGACTAAATAAATCTTCAGTAGTCACTTCAAAAATAAGAACAAGATTCAACACATAAACAACAGAAGAATGGAGCCCCCGACAGGATGTCTCAAGTGGTTAAGAGTTTGAGACTACAAGTTGGAGATCTTGAGTTTGAACCTTGAGACAGGTGGGGAGGAATTAAGGGAAGAGGAGGGCTATCCCCTGTTGTATAGCCCATCATTTGATGTACCAAAAAAAAAAAAAAAATGAAAGAAGAATGGAACACAACGAATAGTAGGGGTTCCATTTGTTCTCAAGCATCTTGTAGTAATCCTCAGAAAATTACGAGAAAGATCAATTAACAACCAAAACATAAGATTCCAAGGAAACAAAGAGAGATATTGAACAACTGTAAAGAAAATTAAAAGGAAAATTTGAAGCTAACTGAGAAGCAGAACTCTCATGCAGCAAAACAAAAAACAAAATATAAATATAACATCCAATGATTCTTACAGAAAGACGAGGAAGCAAAGCCGTAAGGTTGCTGGATAATTGTTCAATTCTCAGTCCAGGAGGGAGACTATTCCCAAGACCAACTGTTGCCATTTTCACAGGATCACCTGCTCTCATGAGGAGAAATAACTGAAATAAGCAATTTGAAACCTCAAAGATGGTTTTGGCAGATAATGGTGTATTTGGCTTCGAATAAAAAGAAACCAAAAAAGAAAATCCAAGTTCAAAGTTCTAGAAAAGCCACAGAGTAGCAGTCACAGAAAAGAAAATCAAAATAAGATGTGCAATATATGAAATATTAGAAACTGGGAAATTAAAAGAGGCTAGAGGACTCCATCAACTTGAACTAAATCATAACAGCAGTTACAACCAAGTTTTTCAAAAAGCATGCCACACTAATCACTTACCCATCACAGTGCTCAAAATATAAGGAACAGCGATATGTAGACCATCTGGCAAAGCTTCCAAGAAAGGAAACAAAGGTTGTAGCTGGGACCTGCCAAACGATGTAGCTAACATGAAATGCTCAAAAGTATCAGTACAACTTGGAGTATCTTAATCAAGTTTAAAGGCCAATAAAAAGTTAAGAACATATGATGGAGAGAAAAACAGGGTAAGAAGCTGGAAATATGGAACTGACCAGGATTTGCTAATATCACTACAAGGTCAATCTTGGGATTACGAGCAGCAACTGCAAGTGCTAGGCAACCACCAAAGGAATCTCCAAGCAAATAGATTGGCCTATTTTGGCACAAGGCATTCTCAAGCCTTACAGTTTCCTCAACGAAATTCACCAGTTCTTCATTTAATAAAGGTAACTTTAAATTCTTGATAAAAAGAATGAAATTTTACTGATGCAACAGATCATAAAAGATTCAAGCACTTAAGACATACAGACACAAAATGGAGAAAAACAAGTAAGCAACATGCATATCAAAGATCAGAAAATGAAACAATTTTCAAATGTACGATAAAAGCTTATTGCACATTTCATAACTACACTATGTCATCCAGTTTATCCATTGAAGAAAAGAAGGATATTTTATGCACAGGCATCAAAAGGATCAGGCAAATCTGATTGTCAAGGTTCTTTTATTTAGTTAAACAGTATTTTACTGTCATTAAGGTGACAAGATTAGAGTTCAAATGTGGTTATCAATAATGCTAAAATTTTAAAATATGCATAAAAATACTATGAACAATATGATGACAAACCTCCAAAATGAGTTGAAGGATGCAACGCATAAATGAAAGCAAGTCAAGAAACATGTTTAACAAATAATGGAATAATCCTAAACTAAAATCACTTTTCTGGTGCCTAAGTAGTGTATATGAAGTTCTAAGCAAAACTGGAGAAAAATAAACCCAAAAGTTTTGTAGGGTGAAAACCTTCAAATGGTGTCCGATCATCAACAGGAATATGAAGGCACCTAACTTCAAAAACCCTGCATTTAGCAAAATTCTTCATCAGGAATCCTTGCTTGTAAGGCTTAAAGCATAACTAAATATCAAGCAAAGACAAGGACAAGAAAGCTTAAACAAAATTAACAGACCTAAGCATGAACATCAAGTATTATGAATTTAACTTGAAGAATCAGATGTAAAGCTGAAATCATTACCTGGTTTTAGAAACAAAGACATGAAAGAACAAGAATCACATGTGCACACAACATATATGCCAGATCCAGCCCAAAGGAAAAAATATATATTACCATCTCCAAACTCTTAACCATCACTTACCCAGATTTGTTTCATTATTCTCTAGGCTGCCAACATGACAATCTTCTTTTGATTTCTAATATAATTTTATTAACCTTAATCTTTACCATAAGTTAACTTTGTTTGCATAATTGGATTGGTTTGCTACACAGCTTTATTTACATGCATAAATTACATAATGTTTGCATACAACAATTTGGAGAGGAAAATACGACAACTTACTTCCCAAGAGCTTTTTGGTGCAACATGAGGCCCATCCCAACACCGTCAAGCCCTGCATCCATCAGTACCCAAAAAAATAAAACAAAATAAATAAGAGTGCCATTGTACACTTTTAGAATCTCAAAAACTTAAAGTTCAAATCAGTAAAATCAGGAATAAAATAATCAGGAATGGTATCCCTCAAGTAGACAAAGATATTAACCACCACTACCTCCACTTGAATTAAAATAATAAGGAATACAATTAGTTGCTCAAAGTAATAAATTTATCATAATCTAACCACCTCCAATTCATCCCTCAAAAAAGCAACAAAATTTTGAAGAACAAAGATAACAAAGCTATTAACCCTTATATTACCAGGCAAAAACAGAAGAACAGGAGAACCCTTTACTGGACGTCCACACTCAACAGGGCAAAACCAACGAGGCGGTCCACCATCAGGCTTAATCATTTCACCGGATGCATCAAGGTAATCTTTCACAGTATTAGTACCATAACCATCATCCCACAACACTTCCAAATGTTCAGAAACCAAATCTTTCACCAATCTTTTCTTAACTCTAGACTTCATCTTTCCATTCCCACCATCAACCACAGAACCATTTTTCTCTCTCTCTCCAACCAAAGGAGATGTTCCATTCACTACAACTTGATCAGAAGACACCATTTTCAAATCACCACCTCCTAAACTCTGAGCTCTCACTCGAAAACGAGGTCTATAGTCTGAATTTACACCAAAATGAGGCGAAATACAGAACGTAAGTACAGATGCCATGACTTCCACAAGAACAAAGGAATATGGTTCAGACTTCAGATCCCTTGTTCAAGATTCAACAATGGAACTACCTTAAACCCTCTTCATGTACTAGCAGAAACCTTGCTCCTTAATTTCTCACTCACCTAAGAACTACCAACAGCTAAGAAATTTTCAACCTTTTAAAGCCCTGAAACTCAGAAGAGCTTAACTAATACGAAACGAGAGAAAGTCCCCTAAAACACTCCAAACTAAACGGCCAAACTAGTTATTCCAAGGGTACAAGATACAACAAACAACAGAGGTAAAAAGACTAGAACTTGAAAGCTGAGCCAGAAGTGAAAATAGACTCAAAAAAAAACTCTAGTGCCAATTAATCCGAATAAAATGACAAAATGAATTCTGGGTGTACAAAAATAAGTTAATAAATTCATGGGTTGTCCAAATAAAAAGACAAAAATGGTGGGGAACAAAACCGGAAAGAAAATGGAAGTGAAACCGCCAATCATTCTATTTTCTTATATTAAGTTTTAAGTTTTTATCTTGTAAATAGCGAATTAAAATCTTTTTTATAGGTTTAATTTAATTTAACTTTAAATGTTTGTTTAGATAAAAATTGATAAAAAGAGAAAAAAAAGAGAAAGGGAAAAAAGAGAAAAAGGAGATGTGAGAGGAAGGAAATAATTCAGATTAACTTTGGTTATATATAAATAAAAGTAGAGGAGATACAAAGATAATATTTTTATTTAATTAAAAATAATTTTAAAAAATAAAATAAAAATTTTAAAATTCAATAATTAAAAAATAATTAATATAAAATACATTTACATATTTTTTTTAAAAAATAAATATATAAAATCTATCAATTTAAATCTCTCTAAATTCTTTTAATTTTTTTTTATTTGAAAGGGTTAAAAATAAAAAAAATAAAAAGAATTACATTTCTCGCCATCTCCCTCCACATTCATTAAAACGACTTATTCAAACACGAGAAGGGCACACCTCTCCCTTTTTCTTCGTCCTTTTTTCTTTTTTTCTCCCCTTTCAACTTCTCCAATTTAAACTAACGCTAAATAAATTAAGTTTAATATAATTTTTAAACAACTTCTAGAAGGATTTGTAATATAAAGGAAAAAGGGGAGAAAGTGAAACCAAGTTTGGAAATGTATTAATCATGATTAGCTGTTGTGTGGCCTTGAAAGGGATGGTACTTGTCTGGACATGATATGGACATAGTCGACAGACACAAGTGATTGGCAGCAAGCAAAAGTGTTCACACCCTCTGAAATTCTTAACGGTTGATTAGAGGATTAGGCGCGTTGGGATGGTAAGCAAGTGGGCTTAGATTTCTGGTTTATTAAGGAAATGACACTAGCTGGCTTCTTTTGGCCGTGTGCGGAGGGACAAATGGGGGGCACTGCCACAACATGCCTCAGCAGCTATACCATTGTGCCAGGAGTAGGCCACTGGTACCTCAAAGGTTAGGTATGTGGGTAAGTAAGGCTTGTTTGGTGGAGCTCGTCGGAATTTTTTTTATTTATTTATTTATAAGTGATAAATTTAATTTTTTATTAAAAAAATATAAAAAAATAAATAAAAATAAGTAAAAATAAGATTTGTAAAAATTTTGAATTTAAAATTTTTGATCTTTTACTGTTTGAGATTTTTTTAAAATTAAAAAATATAAAATTTAAAAAACAATTTAAATCTATAAAATATAAATAATATCAAAAAACTAAAACTTTTAAAAACTCCACCAAACATACCAAGAATTATTTCATGAGGAAGGCCTTCGGTTCATTGGTTGTTTATCTAATTGTAAAGGCTTCCTCATTCGGTGACAAGGTTTGAACTTGTGGTATCTTCTTCTTTTCTTCGCCCTCCCCCATAGGTTGAACCATTTGTTTCTGTCCTATAAAAAAAATATTGTTTTATATCTTTTAAAGTTTAAATTTTAAGTTAATATTTTAAAAAATTAATTTTTTAAAATATATTATGTTACCGTGGGAGATGTACTTTTAAAAATTATTCAAAAAATAATAATTTTAATATGCATAAAAAGTGAGTCAAGAATCCTTACACATACCTATATGAAAAAAAAAAAGAAAAAACAAAAAGAGTAAGCCAGCAGTGTAGCAGAATGGGAGATACTTTGATTTGGGTGTGATTATCGTCATACTCAATATTGTTAAGACAACATAGATTTAAGCTATTTTAAAGTAATGTCTAAAGATATTAATTTATTAACTAATAAATATCAACTATTCTATTAATTATTGGTTAATAGTTATATTTACTTACTAATTTTATCAATTAAATTAAACAACATTAGTATTTTTAGAAATAATATTTTACAATTTATGTGGTTATAACATTATGATAGGTGGTCACAACCATACCCATTTTATGGAAGGTATATTCTAATAAAGAAAAATATTTTTTCTTTATTTTAATGCTATTATTATTTCTTAATTTTAATAATCTATCTTATCATAAAAAATTCTCTTTATTTTTATTTTTTTAAGGTAATATAGATAAAATTATAAATTGTACCCAAAGTCTTAATCTAAAAATAAAATTAAAAAGTGCCTCTTATTTTAAAACAAAGATAGTAATTGATATAAAATTTAAGTATTAAATGACATATTTATTTTATTATAGAAAAAATTAGGCAAAATATGCTTGTGCTGAAGGAGTATACGTATTTGAAAGATATTTTTTTGAGTTTGAAAAAAATTAAAATATTTTGACAATTAAAATGTTAAAATTTTTTGTAAAAAAATTTAAATATTTTTAATGAATTAAAACGTAAAATAAATTATTAAATTTAATTAATTTTATAAACAACTCTAACAGTTTACTCTTTTGGTTCATTTTTAGTAAATTTAATTTAACTCTCTCTGTTTATTTTTAGTAAATTTAATTTAATTCTTAAACTTTTTAGACATAAATTTTAAATAAAAATTTAATGATTTATATGAATAATAATTGAAAAGTTTTTTTTCTTA